TGACAGACTATTTTCTTGGGGCTTCAAATTCATTAGAGATGGTGACTGCAGTCATGAAATTAAAAGACACTTGGTCCTTGGAAGAAAAGCTATGACCAACCTAGACAGCATATTAAAAAGCAGGAACATTACTTTGCCAACAAAGGTCCGTCTAGTCAAAGCCATGTTTTTCCTAGTAGTCATGTATGGATGTGAACGTTGTACTATAAAGAAAGCCGAGAGACAAAGAACTGATGCTTTTGAACTGTGGTGTTTGAGAAGACTCTTGAGAGTCCTTTGGACTGCAAAGAGATCCAACCGATCAATCCTAAAGGAAATTAGTCCTGAATATTCATTGGAAGGACTGATGCTGAAGCTGAAATTTCAATACTTTGGCCATCTGATGCGAAGAACTGACTCACTGGAAAAGACCCTGATGCTTGGAAAAATTGAAGGCAGGAGGAGAAGGGGACAACAGAGAATGAGATGATTGGATGGCATCACTGACTCAATGGACATGAGTTTGAGCAAGCTCTGGGAGTTGGTGATGGACAGGGAAGCCTGGCGTGCTTCAGTTCATGGGGTCCCAAAGAACTGGACATGACTGGGAGACTGAATAACAACAATAATGTTCCTGGTAAAATGGAGGTGGACAGTGTGGAATGCAGTTGGAGTCTGAAGTTTCTAATGAGCAAGTGCCACATTTAGGTCTCAGATGCATCGTTGGTCCAGGTGAAGTTCAGCATCTCTGGTGTGAACCACCTATAGAAACAAGTCAAATCCTAGTGTTAGGGGTGCATTGCATTACCCATTCCTGCCTCCTTCCAAATTCATATACTGAAGTCCTAAACTCCAGCACTTTAAAATGCGACCTTATTTGGAGGGAAGGTTTTAGCTGAGGTCGCTAAAATAAGGTCGCTAAGGTGGGCCCTAAGCCAATATGATTGGCGTCCTTATAAGAAAGGACATTTTGGACACTGACATACCTAGAGAGAAGACAGCCATGGGAGTCAAAGAGAAAGGCCTGGAACAATCCTTCTCGTACCACCCTCAGAAAGAACCAAGCCCACTGACACCTGGATTTTGGGCTTCCAGCCTCCAGAGCTGTGGACCATATATTTCTGTCGTTTAAGCCTCTCAGCTTGTAGTATTTTTGTTATGGCAGCTCAAGCAAACCAATATGCGCCCCCAACCCCGTCACATTTTGGGAGAATTTAAGTGAGCTGAGTTTAAGCATTTAATAGGCTGGAGAAGTATTTGCTCCACAGAGAGTGCTAACAACGTAAACTGAGTTATACTTTACAGATTTTTATCAAAAGTGAATAAACTTGATGTACAGAAAGACATGCAGAAACCCTTCCATATGGAAACAAGCGGTAAGCTAACAAGTGACTCTATACTTCTTGACACACATAAATGGGAGCTGCTAAAGGCTCCAGCCAACTCTTACTGTGGTATTTTGATTGCACTGCTGTGATGGAGGTGAAAAGCGGAACCTGTGCTTAGGCAGGAAATTAAGGAGATGGTGTATGTATTTGTATGTGTGATGAGATGGTTGGATGGCATCACCGACTCAACGGACGTGAGTTTGAGTAAGCTCCGGGAGATGGTGATGGACAGGGGGGCCTGGTGTGCTGCAGTCCATGGGGTTGCAAAGAGTCGGACACGACTGAACTGAACAGAACTGAGATAAGCAAATATACATATCTATAAAAACCTGTGAGAGGATGCATTTGGGTCTGGGTGTAGTCGTGTGAAAATATGTGTATGTTAGAAAGAAAAAGGTAGAGAAGAGTTGGATTTGCAAGAAACAGATATGGGAGTAAGGAGAATGTATGTGCTGAGGGGAGAAATGTTTGTGTGACAAGTGTGTGTGTAAGAGAGAGAAGAGAGAGAGGAAGAAAGAGAAATCTTTAGTGTTGGTGGAAAGAAAACACATGTGAGAGACGTATGTATGTGAAGAAGAGCCATGTGCATATTTGAAGCGTGTACACTACGTGCATTTAAGGAAGCAGATATGTTTGTAAGGAATACATGCAGCACATGCGCAGACATATAAAGGGGACATGTGTGTGAGAATGTGTATGTAAGAGGGAGAGAAGAATGTGTGTGTGATTCTTTAGGATAATGCTGGTGAAAGAAAAAATATGCTCAGAAGCCATGTCTAATTGCCTTCCTGACCCCATGGCCTCCATGAACCCGGCTTACTGAATGAGCTCAGAGATTGAGCTCAGTGCCTTTTTAAGTCTGAGGTTGGCCACTACAGTTTTTTAGTTTGGCCCTGTTTTTGTCAACATTTTAAACTAGGTTGAGTCCCCTCATGTAAGAAAATATCTTGAAATTACTGTCTTCAAGTTTTAGTTCAAGTTCAATAAAGATAAAATAAGTAGGTCAGGTTCATTTCAGGAAGAAAAAGCTAGCTACTTGTATTTGTGCTCATATTTAAATCAATGAACTAGGAGCAGAGAGATGATTCATCAAGCAGGAAAAAAATACATAACAAGAAAAAAACCCACAATAATTGAGTGTCATTTCTTGTCTAATTCTTCATTGATAGGAGTCTTTCCATTTCTAGAGTTTATTATAGATTTAAAAAATAGAATTCGGTGGTTTCCTCAAAGTCATTATATCAATCCACTGAGGCATGGGACACCTTTCTAATAATTTTTCCCTAGCAGGAATCTCATATTCACTTCCATTCTTCTGGTGAATCAAATCATATTTTTGTCTTTATTAAAAGTGACTTCCTGGGGAATTCTCTGGCAGTCCTGTGGTTGGAAATCTGCCTTCCAGTGCAGGGGGTGTGGGTTTGATCTCTGGTTATGGAGCTGGCCTCCTACATGTCTCATGGCCACAAAACCAGAAAACAAACAACAGAGACAATATTTTAACTAATTCAGTGGGGACTTTAAAAACAGTCCACATCCAAAAAATTCTTTAAAACTGACTTCCTTTTTAATGGTGGTTTTCAAGGAAAGGAATGCATTTTTTTGAATGACTTTCACATCATGGTGGTTAGGCAGACAAACTATGGCCCATGGGCCAAATCTGTTCTGCTATTTAGGTTTTTTTTTTGGGGGGGGAGGGTGTCTTTTTTTTACAACCCATGAGGTAAGAATGGTCTTCACATTTTTAAAAGATTATACTTTAAATGGTTATATAAGTACTTATATGATCAAATAGTGTGAATTTTGCCTCCTGGCTGGCCTAAAGCCTAAAATATTTCCTTTAATCCTTCAATAAAAGGTTTCCTGACCTTGTCCTGTAGAATTTTATTTGCTTGATAAAATTTAAGCTGTCAAAATGCAAGAGAAAAAAAGTAAGTGAAGTGATTATTCGTTTAGCAATTGCACTAAATAATCTACACCATAGAATCAGCATATTAGTTAAGATTAACACAGTTATTCTACACGTTTTTATTGCAGTGGTTGAAAAACAGTGCATTCCCTAGAAATACAAATGCAGTCGAGAATGTTCATTGCAGTTGTTTCTTTTCGTTTCTTTCTTTTGTGTGTGTGTGTGTGTGTGTGTGTGTGTGGTCATGTGGTAAATGGCATCTTAGTTTCTCAACCAGGGATTGAACCTGTGGCACCCTGCAGTAGAAGCATGGAGTCTTAACCACTGAACTGCCAGGGAAGTCCCACAGCAATCTTATTTCTAATCATGAAAAACTGATCAACTTAAATATCGATCAACAGAAAATGTCTATACAAGCCAAGCCATTCATGCAATGGAACGCTATTCAGTAGTTAAAATGAATAGCCTAGGGTTATATGTATGGCAGGCTTCCTAGGTGGTGCAGGGGTCAAGAATCTGCCTGTCAAGTAGAAGTTTTGGGTGTGATCCCTGGATGGGGAAAATCCCCTGGAGGAGGGCATGGCAACCCACCCCAGTATTCTGGCCTGGGAAATCCCATGGACAGAAGCACCTGGTGGGCTAGAGTGCACAGGGCTGCAAAGAGTTGGATATATCTTAGTGACTGAACAACAACATTTGTATGATGAGATGGCTGTTAAGCATAACACTGAGTGAAACAGCATAAAACAAACCGACTGGGTTACATAACGAAATGCAGAACATAACACACAGAAAGCTGTAAAACTGGTAAACATGTTCTATTTGAACACATGTATATGTAGTAACATGAACACATGCACATGTAATAATGGTATGAAAACATTGATGAGATGTTTTAAAGGAATGCTGGGGGTGTTAATTCGGGAGAGAACTGGGATCAGGGAGGGCTGTCCAGAGGCTTTAACTGTATTGTGATATTTATTTCTTAGGAGAAAATCTGAATTAAGTATGGCAAGAGGTTAGGATTAGCTGGTTCTTGGGCACACACGGAGGGGCTGATGAACTTACTCTCTCTAGGGTGCCTCTGAAATATGTTATAATAAGAAAAGTGATGGTACCATCAACCAGAGGACAGGAAATCTACAGAGATTAAGGCAGTATTTTTACCCAGAACCTGTTGAGTGCTGGCACTGGCTGGGGGCCAGACCCTCATTCCCTCATGTAATGATTCAGTTCAGTGAACTGTGACTGTCTTCCCCATCCTCAAGGACAGTGTCAGACTGGCCCAAGGCCACAGTGGGAGTCATAGGGGTGAGTGCCCCCTGAGGTTTCAGGGCTGGTCTTTGACTCTACCTCTGTGCCAGGCACGCAGGTTCCTGAAATCACAGGGGCCCCTCTTTTGGCTGAAAAAGATAAAAGAAATCTGGAGCTTTACTCCTGTGCTCATCCCTCGGGCTACATCAGCACCAGCCTCCCCGAGAGGTCTGCAAAGATTTCTTGGAGGTTCCTGGCTTCCTTCCTTCCTTTCACTCATTCTACCCGACCCTGGGGCCAGGGAAGGTTCCACCCGCAAGTGCCTGGCATTCCAGAAGCCTTCTCTTCTGCTGGCCTCAGACAGGCTCCCTGGTGGGCCGCTGGCGGTTGGGGACCCTAGTCCTCCAAGCCCTGTTTCGAGCCGTTGGCAGAAAGAAGGGCGCGGGGAGCCGGTACCGCGGGCGCCCAGGATGGCGCCTTGGGCGCCCGACCGACGTGGTCCTCCGCCGGGCTCAGCCCGGGGGGCCGGGGTCCTTGGTGGGGAGCCTTTGGGAAGCCTGGGCTCCGCTCCTGCCGCCTCCCAGACTTGCCTGGTCGCCTCGCCACTGGGCGCCTATGTCCCAAGCGACAAAACGACCTGTGTTCTCCCAACTGCTGTCCAGGCTCTCGCCCCAACTCAGCCTCCGGGGGCCGGAGGGGCTCCCAGTGTGGCCCCGCGGGACGATGGGCGGTGTGCTGGGGCGGAACGGGGAAGCTGCCGGAGGACTCCCCGGGGGAGATCGGAGAAGAAGGCCGGCGACGCCCCCTCGTCCGCTGCCGGGCCCTGCAGGTGGGAAGGTCGGACTTCGGTGACGAGGGCGCAGGGGCAGGGCGAGGGGACCCGACCCGGGCTGGGGGCGCCTCGTCCTCGGCGGGGCGAGGACCTGGATCGGCGGTCGGGCACCGAGTTCGGCTCCGGCCCTCGAACCTCCTCCCCTCGCCGGACGCCTCCCCGCTCAGTCCACGGCGCCGCCCTCGCAGCTACCCTTCCCCAGCGGGGTCCCGGGGGCGGCCGAGCCCACCGCCGGCCCTCCTCCGCGGTCGGCCGGAAGACCTGGAGAAGCGGACTCCAGGGGCGGCGGGGGGGGTCATGGGTCAGTCCCGGGCGCTGACCGCGCTCCGCAGATCCGGGCTTTGCCGCGCGCCCCCCGGCCGGCCGAGCCCGGGAGCTGGGGAGTGAGCGCGCGGGCGGCTGGGCCGGCCCTCCGACGGCGGCGGGCGCACCGGAGCGGGGCCGCGGCGGCGCGAGGACAAAGGACCGCGGTAAGAGCTGCCGCGCGCCGGCACCGGGGCGAGCGGGGGAACCGCTCGCCGCCCAGCGCCCCGGGGAAGAGCCGGCGGGGGTACGGGAGGGTGGACCCGGGCACTTTTCCTGCCCCGATTGCCGGGAGGCTGCGGAAGTGTCGGGGTTCAGCCCCGAGGGCGCGTGGGGATGTGGGTGCGTGCGCGTGTGTGAGTGTGTGTGTGAGAGGGATCGGCCAGGGTTAGAGTTGGATGGATTTGGAGCGCGCGCTGAGCGCGCGGCACAGAGTCCGCGCTCTGTAGGTGAGAGCTGATAAAAATGACACTGATGGTGCTGGTCACTATTTTGAGGGTGTGCACGCGTGCGTGCATAGGTGTCCACGCCTCTGTGTTTGGAGAAGCTGGAGCCGGAGGTGGCGGCTCTAACTTCCCGGCACTTGGGACGCGGTAGAAAATGGGGCTGCTTTCCAAAACCGCCCTGGGACCCTCCTGGAGGGGCTCCGATCCTTGAAAAGGCTGGTTGAGAAGTGGGGAGCGCTCAGTCGCTGGATCCGTTTGGGGTCTTGGGAACAAAGGCTGTTTCCCTGAAGTCCAAGAAGGTGTGTGTGTGTGTGTGTGTGTGTGTGTGTGTGCGCGCGCGCGCGCGCGTGTGTGTGTGTTGGGGGCGGGGGGGCGGGCACCAGGGCGCCAGGCGGGGTGGAGGCGATGGTCATTCATGGAGAAAGGTGTTGGGCCATTTTGCTGTCAAAGCCTCTTTTGATCCCTGGTCTTGAGGCCAGCAAAAAAGAGGAACTACTTAATTTGTGTACTGAAGCTTTGTTTAATAAACTTTGCTTATAGAGGTAAGTGTTACTCAGGTCTTGGAAGATTTCTTTAGTATCTCTTTTAAACCATGTGCAAATTTGATTTGTTAAAAACTTTTATTCCTATTGAGAGCATTTTAACACTGCTGTGTTAGATCTGGGGGAAGGGTAGAGGTCTAGGAAGGTTCTGACCTTCATCTGACATAAACCAGTTGTTTTAACGTCACCTGGTTTGCAGCATTTTGTAGGAAAATGTTATTGGAAGTTTTAAAGGCCAATTAGACTCCTACCCCTGACTTAGAATGTCTTAAATCTCTGGGCAGATTTGAATTCCTTGTATCCAATCTTTTGCTTCTAGAGCACTGTTTTGGGTTTGCTCAGAAAAGTTTATTTCTAGGAAAGGAAAACCAAATTAAAAATGTGAGACAATTAAATGAAACACAGGTGAGGAGCTGTTTCTAGGAGACTTTTCATACCGAAATCTGGTTGACTTAAAGTTTGCATTTGTGGTCTGTGACATTCTCCATCCCCCACAGCAGTGGATGAGGTGGGCTGCTCTTCATTCTAGAACAAGTTTTTTTTTTTTTTTAATGGAAGTGTAGTTGATGTACAATATTATGTAAATTTCAGGTGTACAATATAGTGATTCATAATTTTAAAGGTTATGCTCCATTTATAGTCATTATAAAGTATTGGGTATGTTACCTATATTGCACAATATATCCTTGTGGCTTTTTTTATACCTAAGAGTTTGTGCCTCTTCATTCCCTACATTTCACCCGTTCCTCATCCCTCTTCCCCACTGGTAACCACCAGTTTGTTCTCAGTATCTGTGAAGCTGCTTCTTGTTTGTTATATTCACTAGTTTGTTGTATTTTGTAGAGTTCACATATAAGTGATGTCATACTGCATTTGTCTTTGACTTATTTCACTAGGGTAATACCCTCTAAGTCCTTCCATGTCACTGCCAATGGCAATATTTCATTCTTTTCATGGCTGAGTAATACTCTACATCTTCTGTATCTGTTCATTTATTGACAGACACTTAGATTCGTTCCATGTCTTGGCTGTTGTAAATAATGCTGCTATGAACATTGGGTACGTGTAGCTTTTAGAATTAGTGTTTTTTGGAAGAAGTATTCTTTAAAGGGTAAGAAGTAAGTTCAGGTTGAAATTGAAATTCCATCCTAGCCTTTTTTGTTATTGCTTAACAAATGGCTTATCTGTGGTTTAAGATGTTTTTGGCTAATGAAAAGAACTACTTGCACCAATGCCTGTAATCTTTTACTGGGTGGGTAATTTGAAGCTACACTTTAATATCTGTATTTTTGCCTTGTCATTTTTAATAGGAGAGTTTATAAACTAGAGTCTGTCTAAAGATTTCTGTGCTTATTATGAAGTTGATTACGTATTCATTTAGTAAGCAGTTGGCTGAACTTTTATGGTATTACAGATGTTCAGTTTACCACTACCATTTTAATTGACATTAGAAACCCCCATTTTAAGAAATTTGTGTCTAGTTTGTGGATTCAAAATTTGAATTAGTTGGCAATTCCAGAATGTTCAGAGGCAATCTCAAAGTAGAGCTAATTAGTGTTGAAAAAATTCAGAATGAAAAGAAGACAAACTATAATTTAAAGAGAGAGGCAGCCTCCCCGCACCCTGCTCCATGACCAAGCATAGTCCTCACGACTGAATGGGACCAGGATGTTTAAACAAAGACTGTGGTATGGATGCTTCATGCTTTAAGCGGGGAAAGGGAGCTTGCTTTTAATAATCCACATTTCCCTGGCCAGCATGCTTCAGTGGTTCTGTTCTGTTTTCCCTAGGAAGCCTCTAGGACTTTTGTGGGGGTAACTGATTATTAGGGCTGGCTGAGGGTAGTGCATAGAACCCTGTCCTGGACATTCCAGAGGGTCCATAGACTTCCAAACCTTCAAAAGATTCCAGTTAATCTTTGCACTTTGTACACTGCTTAATGGGCACACTTGTCTTTTAGGTTCAGTTTCTGAGTATACAGCTAAATTATAGTACTTTAGCTAATTACCCTTTAAAAAACAGTAGAATGAGGAAGACTATTATAGAAGTTATATTTGTGACATAAAATTGAAAAACCTGCAGAAGAGTTTAAAAAAAAGAAGGAAGTCTGAAATCTACGATCCAGATATAATTACTGCTAATTCTTTGGTGTGTTTTTTCTGGTCTTAAAATAAAGTTATTTATGCTTCTGAACACTGGCCAAGATTATGTATATATATATATATCCACATAAGAGAATACAAAATTGTAATTTAAAATAACATAAATGAAATAATAAGTGTAATCCATGCCATTTTGTCATTATTATGAATATGGCTTAGTTGGTAAAGTGTCTGTCTGCAATGCGGAAGACCTGAGTTCAGTCCCTGGATCAGGAAGATCCCCTGGAGAAGGAAATGGCAACCCACTCCAATATTCTTGCCTGGAGAATTCCACGGAAAGAGGAACCTGATGGCTATAGTCCATGGGGTCACAAAGAGTTGGACACGACTGAGTGACTGACTAACACTTTCACTTTTCATTATGAATATACTTATTATTTCATTGATAGTCATTTAAAATCACAATTTTGTATTCTTTTGTGTGGATAAATTATGTATTATTTAGCAGACTCTTGGGTTTTTCCTTTTATTTGTGATTTTGATATTCTTTCCATCTTGATAAAACATAATTGGTTGATGGTAATATATATTTCTGAAACTTGACTACCTCTGTGTGTGTGTGTGTGTGTGTGTGTGTGTGTGTGTGTGTGTGCGCGCGCGCGCGCGCGTACGCATGCGCGCGCTGTGCACATGCTCCACGGATCCTTAGAAGATGGCAAAAAAGTTTAACTTCAAGGATATATAGTGGGAAAGGATGCAGTTTTGCCTTAGTCTTTTCAATCTCTTACTCCCTCTTAATTATCTTTTATGCCATTTATTTGTCTCTGTAACACAATAATTTGCATTTTCTTTACCCCACCAAATTATGGACTTGAGGATAGCAATTTGTGTCTTCATTTTGTTTGACTCCCTCTAGTGGTCAGCCAAGGCCTGGCATGTCACAGATGTTCAAAATAGCCTTTTTGGGGGGAGTAATGAAATGGGAATCCACTCCAGTATTCTTGCCTGGAGAATCCTATGGACGGAGGAGCCTGGTGGGCTACAGTCCACCGGATCGCAAAGAGTCGGACACGACTAAGCGACTTCACTTCACTTCACTTAATGAGAACCCAAGTCCGCTTAAAGATGTGCAATGACAAATCTTGATCCAACTGACTCCTGTTACCTTTTTATTGTGGAAAAACTTCAGATGTCTACGAAAGTAGAAAGGTTGTCTAATGAACTTCTGTGTGATCTCACCCAGTTCTACAATTGTGAGCACTTTGTCAATTTTGTTTTTTCTGTCTCCTCCCTTCCCACACTGCAACCCTCCTGAATTACCTTGAAGTAAATCCAAGACATTACAGCATTTCATTCCTCAGTTCTCAGATTGTAGTTGCTGGACCAGCAACTCTGGCATCACCAAAGAATGTGTACAAAATGCAGATTCTCAGGCTCCACACTCAGAGCTACTCAGAAGCTCTGGGAAGGGGGAGATTGGCCAACAATCTGAGGTTTAGCAAGCCTTCCAGGTGATTCTGATGAACAGCCATGCTTGATAACCACGCATCTATGAAGGTAGCCAAGAGATCTATTATATAAGCTCTAAAAACCAGAAACAAATCCTCACCCACCCTCCTCACACATACACAGAAGCAAAAACCTGCTGGAAATTGTGCATTTACCCATCACTGAGTTTGATAACTCAGTCTTACGTCAGTTTCTCCTGTTTGTGCAGAGTGATCTTAACTGTGGGGTGACTGTGAGATCTTTTGTTGATCAGGAACTCTGATTGATAGTTATAGTTCTTGACTCAAAAAGATTTGCAAAGGAAATTATCAGATAAAATCTTTCTGAACTGAGGTGTATGTAGGCAATTTTCATTTCAAAAAATAAGAAAAGGTTGAAAACCACTTCGTGGGACACACCAGATTTGCAATTCCATAT